TGATTGAACGCACTCATTGTGCTTTTGATGATATTTTATATGGTTTTGTACTTATAAGTATTGCATGATCTTTTGCGGTTCCAATTAGATCAGAATTTGTCCTGATGGAGGATAATACCTGATCTTATGCTGCTCAAATTATGAAAAAATATTTTTGAATCATAAAATCACAGAATTCATTGAAGTTCTGATACAAACCCTATGGACACAGTGCGTGTAAACACAGCTACCTCAGACAACTTAGCGTTGCAATGACTGAAGAAAGGGACGGGATTCTTCATATCGTTGTCCACCACCTATGTCCCACGAGTTGATTTAGTGAAACCTAACCTTTTGACACTTTGAATTTGAGGATACTCATATTCGACTTGTTCGAAGTATCGTTATATCGTAAGTGCAACTAATTCACTAACTATATTCAGAGAATTAATTGTGCTTCTAAAACATGTTCCTTCTGTTGATCATTTCGTAGACGAACAATTTAGTAATAAAATATCGTTCCTGTAATTTCTAACTGGTTTATTACGTGCCCGTATCTTGTCATTTTAAATACGTGAACATGTATAGCTAGCTTCTTATGCTTGGAATATTAACAGGCTCACCATTATTTTTACGTTGGTGTATGCACGTCCTATGGGCTCATTGTTATTTTTATGTTAGTATATGCACGTCCTATGGGCTCAACATTAGTTTTATGTTGGTGTATGCACGTCCTGTGGGCTCACTTTTGTTTTTATATTGGTGTGTGCACGTTAAATATATGTAAGAATACTCAAGTTAAGTTTTACACAGATGGTCTACCGTATGCAGAAATTGCATATCTTTAATATGTAGCCATAATTTTAAAAATGCTGTGGATCTTAATTCAAAACCAAGTAAATCCGGTCTAAGCCATGTGCTAATTTAGCTGTGCCCTTTAAACTGAATAGCATAACTCGACCAATGATGTTATCTGCTGTTTCACGAGGTAGTTGTTTTGTATGTAACATTACTCAGCATGTGAGTTTATTTGATGACTGTCACGTGATGAAATGGTCCTGCAATTCACCACATGATTATTCAAGTCGTTTTGGTGCTTTCTGAAGAGGTTCGTTTCTAAACAGCCAAAGTTTGCTGGTGAAGTTTTTGTCAATGATTTACTTTTTTTCGGCCTTAGTGTTATCTTCCAACCAATTGTGTGTTTGTTTTCCGGTTTGCGTATAGTATTTCATAATTATATCTCAGAGAGACATACTGTTTTCTATTGTTTCTTCTTCTTTCTTTTCCTTCCAAACATTTTTCAATCAACCACCATTCCTTTATTTCTCGGCGGATTATCTTAGAAACTTGGCAGAGTTATTGTTTGTTTTTGAATTTCGTCGCAAAGCTACACGAGGGCTATCTGCGCTAGCCGTCCCTAATTTAGCAGTGTAAGACA